TGGAAGTAAATCTTGAACACTTATTTTCTCGAAAAATTCCAGAAAGTATTAAGCATGATTTAATTTGCAATAATAAATGAAGGCATTATCTTTGTTGTAGCGAAGCTTAGTTTCTTTAGATTGGTAACAACTCCGCTATTTTGCCAAGTTTAAAATGTAAACAAACATGTCCGCCATCGCAAAATTGATTAGGCTTAGCTGCACTTAAACAACTTAAATTGTTGATAAATCCACAAATATTGCATGCAGATTTACTAAAGGCATAAAAACCTTAACCGGGAGATAAGAACAACATAATACAATCATTTTTAAAGCAAAAAATGCACAATTTACAAACATATACGAGTAAAGAAACTGAGATCACTCAGCCGGGTAACAGAGTGGATATATACAGTACACAGTCCGTAATCCGGACGTCCATTATCCGGAATGATGTATAATCCGGACCTCAAAGCCACAAACTTTACGCATGCGCATACATTACGCGCGTATGCTTTACGCATGCGCGCATTGAAAGAAATGTTTGATGAAGTAAACAAATAAATATTAAGCTTTCTTTTTGTAAAATGTGATACCCTTTAGATCCTAATTGCTTTTTATTTCATGAATTACGGTTTCATATTTTTAATAGCATAATTTCTGCATGCCATCTTACCAGATTTAAATTGATGGGGTATAATCCGGAATCGCGAAGTCCCGAGTCCGGATTACGGACTTTGTACTGTATATAAATATATTTATATACGTTTGGTGCGGCCGATTGCCACCAAAATACGAGGTACATATCTGCATGTTATAGCAGTCCTATTTACAAAATTTCAATGTTCTGAGGCTATTCGTTTTTCAGTTATGCGAGATACATACGTACGTACAGACACCACGAAAAATTCTCCTCAGAATTCATTTTAAAGCAGTTTTATAATTTTTTTGGAGCAAAAGTCTTTTATTCTATCCTTACGTATAGATGTCATGCAAAAACATCGTTAAATTGCATTCGATAGCAGTCAAAATGGATATTTTTGTTGAAGTATGCTGCCTGAAACTTTTCGCGATTACAATACTTCATTTTTACTTCATACAAGGAAGTAATGAAATAATAATAATACGCTGAAAATTACATAAAATGTTATGATAAATGTATGTTAATGATTTTCTGTCTTATTTTAAATATTTATTAGTTAACAGATAATTGAGTTTGGTTAATTGGTTGAGGGAAAGCACGTGAGTGCTGAAGAAATAGGGCTTTTTTTTACTGCTTTAAATGTGCCTTTCAAAACAGTGCTTTTATTTTATGGGCTATAGCACATTCGATACTTATTTGTTACGCTTTCACTAGTGCCATTGTGGAGACATCGACAGCCCCGATCACCTAATATTTAGCTGTTTTTACCCAAGTTCTGTGCATTTCAAGAAAGAGATAGAAATTTAGCTTTTAGCATGGGCCGAGAACACAACTAAAGAAAATAGCGCATGCCATCAGCATTTCTTCCACTTTCATCTTGCAAGTTTGAAAGTCATTACAGCTTGTTCCTCACTTGTCTGACCTATAGTCAACTCAAGCCTACGAAATTCCTCATGGTGCAAGTTTATGCCTGTTGTTGGCAACAGCCTTGAACACCTTACAGGTGATCGTCATTACAGCATTCTTTTACCAAGCACTGCTATCATGTGAATGGTTTTGCTTCACTATTTTCTAACAATCATATATTTTACAGAACTTCATGTAGTTACAATTTCTCCTATGAATAATTTTTCTATACTCTAATGCAATCTAAAATATGTGGGTCTAATATTTATGCATTAATATGTATGTATATATTTTTTATAAGTGTGCACATATACATAAGTATACATAATTATGTCTAGTCTGAGGCTGTGGAATGTGTTCTCGTCTATTGACTTAAATTCACCTCTATGTACTAACTATGAATGTGTGTGTGCACTCTCATTCTGCTGTTATGTACACAATTTAAATGTATTTTCATAGATATGTCTGCAGAATTTATGCTTATATATATAATATGTATTACTGTGCCAATGCAATACATATATATATATTGGCAACATCTATAATATTAAGAATTGTAAAATTTTTTCTTGTTTAACTGTGCCAGTTCCATATAGTATCAGATACTGTCTGGTGTCCAGCCGTACGCTGAGGTATGGCAGATACTTAGATTGCCTCCGTTAGAATGATGCTCAAATTCCGTGAGGTCTTTATATATGGGTAGAAAGTCATTTTGTTGGTGTAAAAGTATAAAGATATTATTTCAAGTGATGGTATAACACAAATCATTAATTTTCTAGCACACAAACGAAAAAAGTTAATTGGTTAAAGAGTCGCTAACGAGTGCACAGAGAACTACCTTTTCTAGCACACCAACGGAAAAAAAGTAAAATGGTTAAAGCGTCACTAATGAGCGTACAGAAAATGCTGGAAACAATTAGAGAATGTGGCAGAAAATTTTAATGAAAAAACGTGGATATGTAAGCAATGAGTTGCTCTGGAGCATTGATTTAGCGCTTGTGTGTTCCCAGCCTAATTTGACTCTTTTTTTTTTTTTGTCCAGTAAATTCCTAACGATGGACAATAGTGAAATATAATGTGATGATGAAGAATTGCGAGGACAAGATTATCAATATGTTTCTAGTGACAACAATATTATACATCGTCCTAGGACTAATATCCGATGAAGAATTTCAAGCAGTTCTGAATCACGCCTGGATTCAGATGATTCTGATTCTCAAGAAGGATGGTCGTCAGTAGAACAAACCTCCAGTCTTTGAAGAGTTTTTAGGTCACTCAGGATTAAATACAGAAGACGCTTTAGATAGTGTAGCGGATGCTGTAGCTTTTTTGTAAAAAAAAACCATTGTTGTAGCATTTTTTTTTTTTTTTTTTTTTTTTTTACATTCCTTGTACAGAAGTAAAATAGATAACTATTACCAAAATATTGATGAAAACACAATTTCCAAGAAAGCCCTCAAAGCGAAAGACATTACAATACAAGACATAGCGACACTTTTCGAGCTTATTCTTCTTATGGGGAGAGGGCATAAGGACGAAAAAGAGGATTATTGGAGCACGGAATCCCTGCATAAAAACACCATTTTCCTCGAAAATAATGATAAGAAACAGATTTCATGTGTTATGAAAGGCCTGGCACTACAGCTACTTAGTACAGAAGCAATTTTGTGCACAAATTGTAAAAAATCGCCCGCTACCTGGTGAGAGTTTGTTTGAAGAACACCCACGCAAAATGTGTTAAAATAATTTTTTGCTGAAATTGTGGTTCCATTTCTTCAAAAGAAGTGTTTAGGGCTCCTATGCCTTTCGACTAGAATCATGATTTATCTCTAAAACTACTAAAACCATGATTTATCTCTAAAACCAAGAACTACTAAAACCCAACTGTGGTGAGTTCTGATGCAATATAAATGTGCTTAAATCTATATTTAACCTTTCAGCACGCGCGCTTAGCAATTTTACATGAGCATGCGCACGTTGTATTTTTTACGACATCCATTATTTTACTGTTTTAGGCACAAAAGAGGACAGAAATGAGTGAATATTGATAACAAATTTCTTAAATAAAATATTAATCATATTATTGCAAAATACAAATGATATCACATTCAAATATAAGTACATTATTTTTAAGTTCTTATGTTAGTGAGATGGAAATGCAATAATGTATTTCATTATAGAACATTTTAAATTTATTATTTAATAGTTATATTTTAAAATCGAAGCTAATTTAATATTCATCAAAGACAAGTATAGACAAATAAAAAAGGAAAGCACCTTGGTAGGAAAATAAAGTAAGTTTAGCATTACTTACTTCTGCATGGAAATTTACACTTCTTACTGGTTACAAAAAGCACTTTAAAACTATAATATTTTTATTTATTTCTAAAAAATAGAAATAAAAGAAAATACGGAATGGAAATCACTATTGTTCTCCCATCCAAAGGTTTTCTTGCCTTCCTTTTCTTCATCAGATAATTCTTAAAGAATGCGAGTAAAATCAGCTGGTTGCACATATTTTTTTTGCCATGAAAACCAATATAAAATTTACAGAGCCAAATGTATTCAAATTAAAATAATACAAAATTACAAAATATTTAAGAAAAAAAAATATTTTCTGAATTTTCACCCACGAGCATGCACGTGTCGTAAACTTAATGAAAAAGCTGCCACGTAGGACAAAAGCCCATTAAAAAAAAAAAAAAAAAAAAAAAAAAACTTCCTGTTGGCACATTCCATGATGTGGGGAAGGGTAGAAAGGAGGAATAGAAATGACCTTCAGACGTCTCAGCTTTGATATGCGAAAGATGTGCATTAAAGACTTATTTTGTCGTACATTTTGCGCATACGCGCGGGCTGGGAGGTTAAAAAAAATTCAACTAATTATTTAAAAAATAATGTTTCTAGTTGGAAATGTCAGTAGGTAAAAAATATAAATATTATTTTCTTCCTTTTTTTTTTAATTTGAAATATTAAGGTAGTAATTACATCTTGGTACCCTCACTCTTTTTGTGCATTTAAAAAGTATTATAAATTGCTTCATAATTTCATAATATAAGCACAAGTTTGATAAAAAAGTTTTAGGGTAATTTAAAATCTGCCATATTTACTCACATATGCCCCCCTTTTTCCTGCTTCAAAAGAGAGAGAAAAAGTATGCCATATATACAGTTTCATAAGAGAAGCTTAAAGTATAAACATAACACATTAAAAAGCTCACATAAAGACACACTAATGTTATCTATTTCAAAGGTCTCGATAATATTTTTTTTTTTACTTACACATACTTTCCTATCTGCATACATTTTACAGTGTTACCATAAAGCACAAATTTTTAAATTGTATGCTGAAAATTACCTAAGGGGAAGAAATATGAGAGTAAACATAGCATTTTATTTTTATCTGTAGCACAAAAATAAATTAAGCAAATTCACACCAAATTACCAGCATGTTTTAAAACAAGTGAACAAAGTATTAGAAAAATATTTTATTTATAAGAATTAAAATTTGTTATAGGTAATTTTATAAAATGTTAAAAAATTGTAGTCTAAGAGGGTAGTTTGATGTTCACAGCATTTAAAGCATCTACAGCCCATTTTGGATACTCTTTTGTAGGAAACATTCTTAACATGAAATCTTCAACAAATTGAGGAAAACGATCTTCAAGTATACTTTCACGTATAGACCTCATTAAATTCATCTGAAAAAGAAAGTAATCAATTGTGGCTACAGTTAAATAAAATTTTCATTGTAGACAAAGAATACAACTAGCAAATTTAATAAAAAAATTGAGATTTTTTTATGCCATTGTTGCAAGAAAAAGATCTAGATGTTTCTTTAAATAAAACATTTATATAAGCAGAAAGCAATGAATATTTTTTTTATGAAAATTACAATAAGCAGCACACATAGTATAATAATAACTGGAAAAAACTCAAGGTGAACATTGATATTTAGTAATTCCTCCTTAGCACATGAAATTAAGTTCCTCAAATCACTCTCAGGGTAAAAGTAAACTCGTAATACGGCTAAGTATTAAATCTCACCACTGATTTACAGCTGAGCTCCCTAGCTATTTGACCTGTATTCCATAGCATGAGTTCTAGAAACTTCAAAAATGTATTTTTGCAAATTTTACAAAAAGTTGCCAAGTTGCCAAGAAATTGCCAAATGCTGTTAAGACATATCAGGGATGAAATTTCCTATCTTTCCCATTCTAATTCAGCTATCTTCACAATTCTAACGCTGCTTTAAGAATTAAAAGATCTAAAATTTCAAGTTACAAACAACCATTTAAATGCAAGATATATGACCACAAATTTGATTAATGCAATATAAACTACAAAATTACCAACCTAAAAGTAATAAATAAATAAAACAATAAAAATATCCCAACAGTATAGAAAAATGAAAAAACAAACAGAAAGGATTTAAGTATTTACAACATTGCCTCCTCTTTAAGGACTACACATTCCAGGCAGTACAATTTCCAAAACCAGGAATAACTATTTCTCATTACCATAATAAGGTGCAGCCCCCTCATACATCAATACCTTAACTGCACAAGAAGTTCTTTGTATATGCACCACTACATTGTTCAATTTCTTGATCACGCGGTTGTAGCTTAAGAGAGATCTCATGATGATGTAATGGATTGTAGAACCTGACTTGATCTCCTTCCATGATTTCTCTCACCATCAACTTGGCATTGCATTTCGTCTTCATCCCCTCAATGGCAGTACTGATCCTTCCTCTGGAAAACCACTGAAAATCTTCTAAATGTCGTTGCAGATCTTCCAAGTACTGTTCAAGCAAAGAAAGCATGTCTGGTGGTCGTTCGAAAAGTAAGTTACATGGTAGATGAAGATCATGGCTAAAAATCCTTTTGCGCTGATGAAAATCAAGTGCTCTCATGAATGGCACTCCTGTACCCTAGCAGAAATAATGGCAGTTTCTGGTCCCAGTCCTGCTGGGTCTGGAACACAGATAGAGCAGAGAGGGTCCAAGATTGTTCGATTGAATCTCTCCACCATCTGACTGTGGATGTAAAGGAGTGGTTTGAGTCATTTCCATTCTGAGAATTTTACAAAATCCTTGTTTACAAAAAAGTGATGTGAAGGATCACTAATCAGAATGAATATGGAGAGACACTCCAGATCATGAAATTCAGTTCTGCACTAGGACTTCTGCTTTTTTTGAAGCTTCTTAAATAGAGATGGAAAAGTTTCTGGCCATTTACTAAAGTAGTCTATGACAAGTAGGTAGTTTTTGTTACCTTTAGCTGTATGAGGTAAAGGTTTGAGAATCTTCAAAGCAATCCTCTTGAATGCTGCTGCCACATTATAGTGCAGCAATCCTCCTTATGTATGTGTTGTAGACCTCTTTCAAGTTCCACACACCTCACAGGATTTGCACCACCTTTCTACCTCTGCTTTGGCTTTGTCCCAGACAAAAGTGTTTACAACGTCGTGGAGTGTCTTCTTTACACCAAAATAGCCTCCAGTAGGCGTGCTAAAAAGCTCTGGCAGAATACTAGGAACTTGAGATGTCGGTAAGATGAGCTGCCATTTGAAAATCTTTCCGTTCTCAGCTTCCCATTTGCAGTAGAGAGCTCCATCTCGCAGGTGAAGGGAATTCCACAAGGCCCAATATTTTTTTGTTGTCGGACTAATGGGAATTTTTTGCCAGCTGGGCTTTTCTTTCATTGTTTCCATTACTTGCATTAATGGCCTCAATCAAGGATCTTCCATTTCAGCTTTTCTCAATTTTTCACTATACCATGCATGAATTAGGCTCTCATATTAAGGAGTCTATATTAGTTTGACCACTGGAACTTCAAAGTCATATTATAACTCGGCTTTGGAAAAATGTTTGCAATTTTCTGCACAAGGTCTTGAAAGTGCAGCAGCAATCCCATGTGAAGTTCTGCTGCGATGTTGAATTTCCAAGTCATATTCCTATTCCTGTAGTCGCCATATCCAACTAACAACTTGACTCTGCAGATTTCTCAAATTAATATATTTTTCCAACCTCTGGTTTAAAGTGACAACGAAAGTGATGTTGGCAATTTCTTGACATACAGTTTTATTCTATCTTTGTAATGTTTCTTTTATAGCTCCTCTTTCTCGTTCATAAAACTGATTACTTTCCCTAGAGACTGCGGCAATACTCTTTGTTTCTGCAGTTCTGCAGCATTTGCTTCAACAGATTTTTTCATTTCTGCAGCATTTGCTTCTGTTGAGGTCTTTCTTTCCCTTTTCATTTCAACAGTATTCGCTTTCATCAAGGTCTTCATTTCAGTGGCATTCACTTTTATCAAGGCCTTAAGCTGCCGCTTTTTCCGGTCTGGCAGCAATCATGTCCATAACTGCTTTCAGCTGCTCTTCCATCTTCATGGTTGTCGACATTAAAGAAACCCCAAATTCTGACATCTGTTGTGAGTTACAGGATTGTTGACGTTATTAAGATAATCATAATAATAGCTGGAAATAACAAGACATACGGCCACAAATTACATTAAACACAAATTAAAGTAAAAAATTATTGATCTAAAGCAATATAAAATACTACAGAAAAACAAAAACGCAAATTAAAAAAGGTCTCAAATATTTGCAACACTATTAAGAACAGGTGTCAAAGAAAATATCATAGACTATTTAATTTAAAAAATAATTTGACTTAAACATAATTTTTAACTTCTGTAAAAGTTTAGTTTTAAGGATATCAAAAAGAAAAGTACAGTCAGATTTCCATTTTGAACTGCATTTAAAAGTAATTCAGATGAATAAATTTTAAAATACTGAAATACAAACACATGGCAAAATCATATGTGCTGGTCAGACTGGATTATGGTTGGGGGAGCCTACTGCAATACCGAAGGGCCCGAATTCACATTCTGGAGAACACATGGATGTTTGTAAACATATAGTGTCTTGTGGGCTGGGGGGGCACTCTTAATATAAGGTGATCCGAAAGTCCTCTTGAGAGGTTGATGGTAGGAAAAGAAGGGTGGGGCACCCTCGCAACCAGCCCCCTGGGGCGTTCTTCATCAAAATTTGGGGCGTAAATGAGCAAAGTCGTACTGTCACCTGCTAGGTGCTAAAACTCTTGCTCTCCTTGCTACAATGAATTTCGTAGGCTTGTTCTGATGTTATTGCCAGATAAGTGAGATAAGTCACAACAAAAATAAATCACTTGATGATTACATTTCAATTTCAGGCCAATCACAAGTGCATTTATGTTGATTAATTTGTGCTCTCTAAAAATCAGAATTTATAAGAGGTAGTTAATCATTAAGACAGAGTACTAAAAAACACTTAATTAAGAACAAGAATGCTTATTGTTAAGAATTTCGTACTTAGATAGGTAATTTTAGTGCAATTATAAGTAAAATCATTGTATTTCTTTTTTATAATGTAACAAGAAAAGTCTAAAGAGACGAGCTATGTCGGAAAAATAAGAAACGGAGGTAAGTCCATTTAACATTGAGTAAACGGGTATCTCGGTAATTTGACGAGATATCACCAAGCTAGTAACGGTTTTGGTGATTAACTTTGTTGCAAAATTTGCTGAGAAATTGCCCAAATCGGAGACTATTTAATGACATTTGGGTCCGGTCCCTGTAACACCGTAATAAGTATTGTAACTGAATGAATATAATTGATGACTATATTAGCTGCAAATGCAATTTGACACTCATATTGCCTTCCAGTAAATTCGAGAAGCAGAAAGTACTAGAAATATCTCGGCTGCTGGGTGAAAACCATATAAGGCTGGAAAGAGTATCTGCTATTAGCTGTTGCTGCAAGTAGTCAATTCATCAGAGTAGATAGGAGTAATTAGATATCTCTGGATTAGCTTTTTCTTTAGATGCGCTTTGCATTGCATTGTGTTCAACGTTCTCAGTAGTTTGAAGTGCAACTACTGATTGTATTCTGTGATACTGTAAACACCTGTATGAGTATGTCTGTGGAAAATTCCATAACTTTGAAGTGTTTCTTTCGATAAAACAAATTTTATCAACCTATCATCGAAGACCTGTGTGCATTCAATCTACAAGCATTCTTGTATTATAAACTCATATGCACGCAATACTATATAGTTGACTTTTTAAGGCAAACAGTCTTATAGCTATGTAACATACCAGGAAAATCATAAAAATCTCAAAATATCAGCCTAGTTATCTACTAGGAATTATGGGGGATTTACCAGCATTTAGTGGTTTAGCCACTAATCAGTTGAAGTAAATACGAAAGGTATGAATTTTGAGGTGAGATTTTATTTGTTTCTCTGTTCGTATTTAGATAATTAAGATCTTTAATGTTTTTACTTCCTTGTACAAAAGAAGCATTGTAATAGCGAAAAATTTCATGTATTACACTTCCACAGCACAGAAATATCCATTTTGAGCTTTCCTGAATCCTTTTGGATGATTTTTTTGCATGACTTCCATACTTTGGACAGAATAAAGGACTGTTATTTTCCAAAATGGATTTTTTTCAGGAGGTCTGTATGTATGTATGCATCTCACGTAAGTCAAAAATGATAAGCTGTAAAATGTCAAAATTTTGTATATGGAACTACTATAACAATTATAATTTTATATGGAATTGCAAATGATAATAATTTAGCTGTGCACCTTGCATTTTTATTGCAATCAGCAGAAACAAAAGTAAATATATATATTGGGTTGTTCGGAAAGTAATTTTGTTTTTTCCTGTCAGAGGACTTAATTACATTTTTTTGAAACCAACTTCACACTTAAGCTGCATAACCATTATATGTCTTGAGAGCTGATATTACAAGGCTTGTGTGTGAAAAAGTTCTATTAATTCTACGCAGTAGTTTTTGGTTAGTGCCCTTTTAAATATGGAGAGCAATAAGCAGCATTTTCGTCATATTTTACTTTTTTACTATTTTTATTTTTAAAAGGTAAAAATGCTGTACAAGCGAGAAAAATTGACGGATGGTATGGAGAAGGCGTTTTAACATACGCCAGTGCCAAACTGGTTTGCAAAGTTTCGATCCAGCATTTTGATGTCGAAGATCACCACGGTCTGGAAGGCCGTTGAAGCTACAACATGCGATAAGGCATTAGTTGATGCAAATCGGCGAATAACCACACGAGATCATGAGAGTTAAATTTGTCGAATTCGACTGTTTATGGCCACTTGAAAGGCCTGGGCTTAACCTCGAAGCTCGATGTGTGGGTGCCCCATGTTCTTACGGAGTGAAATTTGTGTCATCGCGTTGACATGTGTGATTCGCTTCTGAAACGTCAGGAAAATGATCCATTTTTGAAGCGGATTATTACTGGGGACAAAAAATGGGTCGTATACAACAATGTGAAACGCAAGAGGTCATGGAGCAGAAAAGATGAAACGGCTCAAAGTGTTTCAAAAGCCAACATTCACCAAAAAAAGGTGATGCTGTCCCTTTGGTGGGATTTCAACGGAATCTTTTTTTGGAGCTTTTACCGGACAATACAACTATTAATTCGGAAGTCTATTGTCATCAGCTGGACAAATTGAATGATGCACTTAAACAGAAGAGGCCAGAATTAACCAACAGGAAGGGTGTAGTGTTCCACCAGGATAATGCGAGACCTCATACAAGTTTGGTCACTTGCCAAAAGCTTTTACAGCTTGAATGGGACATACTGCAAAACCCACCATATTCTCCAGATCTGCAGCCTTCCGATTATTATTTTTCCGGTCCCTGCAAAATTTTTTGGATGGTAAACCTTTACCTCAATGAAGATGTCGAAAACCACCTAATCAGTTTTTTGCCAGCAAGGACCAAAACTTTTATGAGCGGGAATCATGTTACTGCAGAAGATGCAAAAGGTGTTGACCAGAATGGCTAATATATAATTTAATAAATATTTATTCATTATACGAAAATTGTCTTTCATGTTCCCCCCAAAAAACGAAATTACTTTCCGAACAACCCAATATATATATACCCACCCCTTACCCAGATTAAAAGTCCTTACCCGACCCTTATTTTCACAATTGCCGGTCATTCAACTTCTAATTACAGAAATGTTGTATATGATGAAATATTCATGTTTTGCTAATGTCAATTATTAAAAAAAGTAATTTTAATGTATGTAAATTAAAATCATATCATTTATCTTTCTACATAAGTTTTTTGTTTTGTTTCATATATATATGTTGAATATAGGTATGTTTTACAAGATTATTAGTAAAAAATTTTTTAAAATTTTCAAATATAATTTGGGTCTCATATTTTTCAGCAATATTATATTTTTATACCAGAAAGTTACGAAGTTTGTAAGATTATGGCTTTCTAAATTGTCAGATTATAGTTTAAGAACATTATTTCAAGATTCAGATACTTGGATAATCCCTAATTTATTGCTAGCTGCACTATTATGGATTCAAATTATTTTACACGTGGTTTTAAGTGACAATAATATAATATCCAAAACTGCAGTATATTATGAGCTATTATTCTAGAAAGTGCCTTTAAAAAAACTTGAATTTCTATTCTAGAAAGTGCCTTTAAATTTCCTTTAAAAAAACATTCAAATTTTACACACGGTAAAATTTCATTTCACATTTTCGCACGACTGACAAGCTAATAATATAAAATAAAGATCTCATGTTTTGGCAACAAAACAAAGTAAACATTTGATGCAATGAATTAAAATATCACACGTCAGCAACAATCAATACAGGAAACAAAATGTAACTTACCTGATGTGCTATATTGTGGGTAGTAATCATGTGACAAGCAACTGTTTCTTTCGTAACAATCTGATAGATGTAAGCTCTGGAGTATCGAATGCAAGTTGGACACTTGCATGTTTCATCAATTGGTCTAAAATCATTAGCAAATGCTTTATTTTTCAAATTTAGTTCCCCACCAGGTACAAGTGCAGTGCCGAATCGCTAATAACATCAAAGAAAATACAACCTTTTAAAATAGTTACACAGAATGCTACTTTCAGGAAGTACATATATTGATGTGCAACTTCAATATAAATGTTATAATAATGAATAAAAAAAAACTGCAAAATGAAATCTTCAGATTATAATCTATACCTCAAAATATTTACCATTATATATTTAAAAAATTAAGACATTTTCAAAAATGCACATCATCATAAAAAATGTAGAGAGATTCTGCATCAATTACGTAACATAGTGTTAGACATTTTTTAACTAGAAAAGTATTGTTGACGCCAAAGGCGCCATCTGTGAAAAATATGTAATATTTGTATATATAAAACCATGACGCTGATGTTTTTATAGCGCCACCTTGTGGCCACTTGTTTTGAGTGTGTTCTGAGACGCCGCGGAGAGATGTGAACTAACTATGCGGCTTTTTGAGTAATTAATAAATTTTAGTATACAGTCCATTTTTGAGTTTTGTGGAAAGTGATTTATTTAATTATGAGTTTTACTGAGCTACTGACGGGCCCAACTATAAATGCTGATAAAATCACCAACTGGACATATTATAAATTATGTATATTATCAAAACAATAAAATACAGATTTAAATTAAAAATTCCTTTATTGATTTTAACCTTCTGACCAGCATAGCATTTCCCTAAAAAACGTAAATTTGCCCAAAACTGACATGAAAAAGAGATACTTTTCTTCATATTAAAGCCGAAATGACTCTGGTACTTTATACCTGGATTTGTGCACTTTATATATATTCTGTTGTTTGTTACGTGCTTCATGTAGTGCCATTTGGTACTACATAGAAAAATATGAATGCCCAGTGGACAACAAGGAATTATTACTTTCATCCACATTAAGTATATGGACTTTGCACACACATGGCACAATATCAAAATATGAGACAGATTATTTTCTTTTTTCAATATGATTTAATAGTTTACAATAATTTTAGATTTACATATTTTATACAATATAGAGTTTTCACATTTCTGTAAAGAAACTAAACAATATCACAAACTACATATAACTGTGCAAAGAAGAAAAAATTAACTTACTGCAGTTCTTGTTGGAAACACACAGTCAAACATATCACAACCCAAAGCTGAACAAACAACAAGATCCAAAGGAAATCTGGATTAAATAGAATAATTATGATCCTCTGAATAAATTGTAATAAATATACCAAATTATATTTATTGTACATAAGCATAATTATACATTTGGCTTTATTTAAGTATGTTAATTTTATCTAAATTGCTATTTATAAAAATAAGCAATTAAAAAAAATTCACCCCACTCCCATCAAATATCTAGGCTTTTCATTAGGTAACAAATCTGTACTTAAATGAACCATTTTCCAGAAATCATCTTTAGATTCACCACCACTTAGTCCACCAATTGCATAACCAGGCACATTTCTTTTGAGAAGTTCTAAAAAAATATTTTCAAACATAAATTATAAAAACAGAACATTCATTCAATTTTTTTTTTAACAAAGGAACAGGTATGTACCTTTAATTCTTTGGCACAACTCCTCAAATTAAATAATTAAAGGCATTTGGGGAACGGTATGACTATGCATCAGATACAAAATATATAACATTAGAAACATATTATAGTCATTAAAATAAAGCTTCAGATGTTCATAAAAATTATCAGTTGGGCATATTTATATGCATTTAAAATGATATTATTTAAATAGATTATTCAAATTAGACCAAACAGAAGGTGTGCATAAATGTTGTTCATTGGTGACCTCTAGGTTGACAATCATTGGCAGTCCACTCATAGATCACCAACATGCACTAGTGCATTAAATGTAGATAGTATTTCAAATTAAAATCAAACCAATGGCCACCACTGCTCTCTGTTGGTCAGAAGTGATTTGCAGGTTGAAGGTCACTTACATCAACCCCCAGATTAATACTGTAATGTGGTGCACTAAATTTGTATAAATGTTTAAAATAAACTGACGTATGATGATGTCAGTAAAATCTATTGATTATTGGCAACCTATAAGGTAATAATAACTTAAGGTAAACCCACATGTCACCAATGAAGGAAGAAACAGTTAATTTAGATGCATATGGTGCATGTAGAGTGACACAACAATCCGAAAATTTGGAAAAACGCCACCAAGAATGTTTCCAATGTTAAAAATTCTATATTCTATATTCTATTCTAAGAATATATAAAATATAAGAAAAATGTCAATGACAGTAAACTCAATAAATTTCACATTAGAATTTATGATCTGTATTTGAGACTAGTATTATAAATTACTATTTATGGACATCATTCATATACTGCAAAATTGCAGAAAACATGCTTGTCTTTAAAAACTAACACAAAAGTATCAAACTGGTTTTCTCTGCAAGAACTTCATTCAAAACTAAATACTACAATTCAGAGTTTAATAATAATTTTTTCCCCCTCCTAACTGGCCTCACTTAAAACTTTGAGAATTTCCATCTTAGACCAGCATCGACATCAAATAAATTCACTTCAATTCAAAAGATGATCTGATAAAGCTCTCTCATCACTGAAAGCAAATTATTTTCTTTTACACCCATTAATCTCACCACTGTTAAATTGCACTTTATTCGAGTCAAATACAGAGATAAATACTAAAATTTTTAACATCATCTTTTAAAAGGAAAATCAGTTTTGCATCTAAATCAAGTGAAATTTGTCTTTAAGGTAAAATAAGGCAAATAGTTTCTTGAATTGTATGCAATCACAGTATTACACTATATATAAATAAAAACTATGTAAAGCTTTTAGACTCCAGAATGGATAGAGAAGGGGAATATTTTTAGATTAGATACACTCTATTTTATGCAATTAAACTGCTATTAGACAATACACTATAAATTTTATTAAAAAGTTATTTAGCAAATACAAAAATTATGTAACAAAAATAATGTTATATCAAAAAGAGAATACTATAAAGTCTTCATCGTAAAAAGTAATTTATATTTAATGGAACTACTATCATATATGGACCAGGTTGGCAAAAAATTTCTTGGCAAACATTTTTGGCAAGAAACTCTACGATTTTACTTATCTAAATTTTTTGCTTACGTTTCAAACTTAAAGCCTAAAGTGACTGAAAAAACGTGGTTTTCGCAAACAATTTAAGCTAAAAGTCTGAAATAAAAAAAATTTGGATAAGTAAAAGCATGAAGTTTCTCACCAAAAATGTTTGACAACAAATTTAAATAACAACAATAAATTCTAAACAATTTCAATATGAATAAATACAAAAATTAAAAAAAATAACAACACAAAATTAAAGCAAAGCGACAATTAAAATAACTCTTTACAAAACTAAAACAATAAAAAAGTAAATTCATTTACCATTCAAAATAGTTCCCAAAAAAGCAAAATATTAATTTCAAACAAAAACTTGTAAGGACAGACATTGCATCAGGGGCATAGCTAGAGAGGGGCAAGGGGGGCATCTGTCCCCAGGCGCAAAATCCAAGGGGCGCCAAACTGATGTTACGACATTTTAAAATTAAATGTTTTCCATCCTTGGCAAGCAGTTAGGGGGTCGCGAAATCTTCAGTTGTCCCTGGGCACTGAAAACCCTAGCTACGACTCTGTATTGCATATATAATCCAATATACTTTGATTAATAAAAGTAGGCCAATCACATAAAGCATGTGAACAAAATGCCGCGACTTAGCTATGTCAGACGTCTTTCTATGATTAAAAATTTCAAATGTTACACTAAAAATTTTCTCTAAAGTCAACTTATTGCAGGAAAACCAGGATCCAAACCTAAAACTTTGTTGAGAATCACATTCTTTACTCTTAACAATTTTTTTGCAAATCCATACAAATCCACCAGAAACACAATTTTTTTACCAAATCTTCATATCAGACTCGCACTTCTCAAATGTGAAGTTCAGCTTAAAAAACCCTGTATCCGATAAAAACTGCAAAAATATACTTCTTTCAGCATGAAGACAACCATGAACAAGTACTTCATCAATAAGTCCAACAACATATCTTCCTGAACTAAATATAGCTTTGAATACACTCTAAAACACATGGCTGATATATCTCCACAACTTCCTTCGTGGAACTATATGCCATTATTCAACATGTAACCAAACAACCACCACAGCAAAATACAACCACATTCCTCACAAAACATTAAAAGGGTTGCGATATAAACAAAATAGTGCCACATTTGCCAACCACATGTATTCTGGGCTGAATATGACATTTGTACCTGTTTAATGCTATGATCTCCTCCCAAAAGAATTTTTCTTAAAAAAGACAAACTTTCCACCTGTGTTAGATTATGTTTCAAAATATTCTAAGATCTATAAATCGAATGCTTAGATTAAGAATAGTTTAGATTTACTGAAGTAGTGTCAAATTGTATTTGATGATAACATACCTTTTTTTAGAATTTAATATAATGATTATACAGTCAAAAGTCGTTAATTCGGACACCCATAATCCGGAATGATCTATAATCCGGACCTCAAAGCTACAAACTTTCTGCGCATGCGTCGCGTTCACGCATGCGCACAGGCGTTTACGAGAGCGCGTAAGACCCTTACGGCTGCGAATATGTTTGTGCGCATGCGCGTTTAATTGTAACGGGATTATACGCTAAGCTAAAAGTTATCTAATTCAGGTAATGTTGCAGATTGCGTTGTTCCTTAATCTTCGAATTGGATCCGGCTTATTATTTTTTTGCAGACTGTTAGAGCAATTTTATAAAAGTAAGCTTGAACTTTCGATTATGTCAAATAGAATTTCCGATATATATTTACTACAAAGCGAAAGTATGTTTTGAAATCCGAAATCTGTTTATCAATTTCACGCTGCTGCGGCAGAGGGGGGGGGGGGAGAAACGTCATTATTAGATTATGATAGATTAGAAAGATTATGTCAAATAGAATTTCCGATATATATTTAATAATATGTAATTTGTATCTACAAAGCGAAAGTATGTTTTGAGATCCGAAATCTGTTTTATCAATTTCACGCGGCGGATTGGAAGTTGATCTGTCAACACTATCCTTATCTTCAGGGCAGATGTTTTTTATTTTATTTGGTTTATAATTCCATACTAAGTGTAGTATTTCATTCGATGTACTCCGTCTTTGATATGATTTAAATCAAGTTCCTCGTCATTATAATTCGCTTCCGATAGTGAAGAAAGTGACCCAGAGGTTATTGAAAACGAAAACATTTCGATTGACAAATTAGTCGGTATTCTCAACACAGCAATTATAGGACTTGAACAGCGGAACTTTGTAACTAAACAAGAAATTATGTCTGTTTAATAGAATTAAAGAGAAAGTATTATCACATGAAACGAAGCAACTTACATTGAAGGAAATGTTTAATAAGTAAACAAATAAATATTAAGCTTTTTTTTTTTTTTTTTTTGTAAATTTTGATACCCTTTAGATCATAATTGTTTTCTTATTTCATAAATTACGGTTTCATATTTTTAATTTTGTAATTTCTGCATGCCATCTTACCAGATTTAAACTGATGATCTATAATCCGGAAAAATCGATAATCCGGAATCGCCGAAGTCCCAACGAGTCCGGATTAACGACTTTTGACTGTAGTTTGAATATATTTTCTATTCATTTAATATACTTATCAATTGTTTTATAATTATATGTTAAAATACTTATTGATATAAATTTGATTGTTGTTAGATTAATGTGAACTCTTGACAGAGTTCAGGTGGGGAGTATGTGGAAATTATTTTGATTAATTGATAGATGGCGCTAGCGTTGCATGTTAATGCGACGCGACGTGCCTTCTGAATTTCCATAGGCTCTCCACCGGCAGCTCGATAGATAGATGTCTGATGGTTCGCACACTATTTGATTAGGAACACTTCGGTTCCTATTTGATTTCGATTATGAAAGCATATAGATTTATTTGTCAACTGAACCACCATGTTTTGATTAAGATCTATAAATCGACATCAATCACATTAAAATGTAACTTTTAATATGTACAATATTTACAGATCATTGATCTAAATATGGTGGTTCAGTTGACAAACAAATCTATATGCTTTCATAATCGAAATCGAATCAAATAGGAACCGAAGTGTTCCTAATCAAATAGTGTGTGAACCATCAGACATCTATCTATTGAGCTGCCGGTGGAGAGTCTATAGAAATTCAGAAGGCACGTCGCGTCGCATTAACACGTGCAACGCTAGCGCCATCTATTAATTAATCAAAATAATTTCCACAGATTACACATAACTTTCATAATGTTATAGCTCTAAATTATTAGCTGAGCTCTAAATGCAACAGGAATTTTCATTATTATTCTAAATTTAAAAGGAAATTTAATGCAAAGAAAAGGATTTGAAATAATTCAGGAGAATATTTTGTCACCTTTGGCACACTGCCATCTTAATTCAGGATTAAGACCTCCTTGAACAATTGGGAAAAGGTTTTGACTTTTAGGCTTCTTGTGATACTTGATACACCTATCAAGCCAGCGATAGGTTCTGTAAAAATAATAATTAGTTTTTTATTTCTTAAAGCATCAAAATAGATCTAATAACTACTTACTTACATAATGTAACAATGTAAATACTTACTTACATAATGTAAGTAAGTACTTAAATAAGACTTCAGAATTGAATGTTAAAATCTCAAGGTATATTGAATGAAAAAATTGCCAGTGTCTATTTTGTACCATAGAATACATTTAATATTTCATGTAAAAACTTCACATTCAGTTTTCAAGGACTTTTCCCCCCTTAAAACGTAAACAGCAACAACATTCAAAAATAAGATATAAATTGATTAAAACAAGATTGATATCTAAGATTATCAAACTGAAATGAAAACAAAATATTTTAACCAAAATCCAGAAAATCCATTAATATTTTAATATTCAGTTTAGAAATTTAGCATGTTATACAAGTTAATAACTTTCTGGAATTTCCAAGCAAAAATGCTCTTAAAATATATTTATTGTAAAATTCTACCACAGAAATAAAATTTAACATTCAAATTGAGAAACAGATTTCAATGCATTAAGATGAGCTGAACTGAAAAAATTACTTAATTATTAATTAAATAGCACAACTATTGGATAAAAATAATAACTTTCTCAATTTTATAGCTAAGCATATAATTTAATAAATCATGTTTGTAATGATATGGCAGAAAGGTATTATTTTAAATATGCTATTTTGTGAATGGGATATACTGAATGAATTTTATGTAGTTGCCTGCATTTGATTTTAAATAATAACAACAATATAATTACAGCACTCATCTTTGTATTCATAACTAGGGTGTTGAGAAAACAAACTGCATTTGATACATTTATTTACATACCTATGCATTGCTTCTTCAACTCTGGGTCCGGAAATAGTACTACTCACAACATCATCTAACTGCATTATGATGTCAGCCCCTATACTATTCTGAATATCTATTGACTTTTCTGGAGTTAAAAGTATTTCTTTCTCATCATAAGGAGAAACAAATCTGACACCATCTTCAGTAACTTCAGATAATTTCACTAACGATACCATCTGAAAACCGCCACTATCCTGAAATAATTCATAGTGAAATTTTTTTTGGACAGATAAAATTTCCAAATATAAGTAATATTAGATTATTATCAACACTTTCTACATAATTACAAGATACATAATTTTTGGCTCAAACTGAAATAGAACCATCAGCAGAGATTAGTAATTCTTTACTGACATAGACTTTACATTCATTATTAATTTCCCATTCATATAAGCATGAGTTAAGACTTTCAGAGGCCCTAAGCTCCTAAAAGATTTTAATGCCCTCACATATGTTTATGACAGTTTTTCTTCATTCCTTCTCTTTCTTGGCTTTAGTTTAGCTGTACCATATATTCTATGGTAGAATCGGCAAAAGGAAATTTTTTGGTGCCCCTTTCCTAAATACTTAAGGACCTTTTTGTGGTGTGCCACTTCCTTTAAGCCCTAAGCTTGAGCTTATATTACTTAATGGTTAATCAAACACAGCATTTACAGTCATTTAAATTAGAATTTATAGCAACATTTTCCTGCAAGTAATTCTTTAAATTAAACTAATTAACAAATTTCAAATTTGATATTTAAAATTTCCTTTTGTTATAATATAACCAGCAGTTTTCATAAGATTCTGCAAAACTCAAATTTTTGAAACTATTATCTAATAAGAACATTTTATTGCAAAAAAAAATTTATACACTTAGTTTAATCTAGACAGGTATATTATGAATTAACTTTCTTTTTTAAGTATGGTTTTTTTATCAATTTGGCACACTTATTCAGAATATTATCCATTATCAATCACATAAACTTACAAATTATTAAAAACTTTTTCTAAAAGCTACAGCTTTTAAACATTTCTCATACTGTCAAAAATTTACCCACTTTGCAGTACATTAAAAGAAAGAGTTTGGTCGACATTTCTGTAATTGATTTGGTAAACATTTCTAATTACAAATGCACAAGTACTGTGGAAGTGAATCATAAATTATGTGCTTTCAAAATGACATTATAGCCAGTTCTAATAAAAGAGGGCTTCATGAATAACCAAGCTAACAATACCATAATATTGAAAGTAGATGTTCCTGAAATTTTGCTTTAAAGAACAAAATTCTTTTTAAATTTTGGCAATCTGTTTACAGTTCAGCAAACTTATTGAAGAAATGCATATGGAATATGACTTTAATATAATTTGCAAGCACGTTAAAATTTCATACAAGGCAAAAGGTTCTATAACACAAATATACTTTTTCCATTTTTAGAAAACAAACATGGTGAAAATAGATAATGAACAAGTCAGTATTAGGTGCTCTACATTTAATGGGTTCCCCAAGAATTTAGTGGAAAATGGAAATTTCTCAGTACCATAAAATCCCAGATAATTGAATTGGCCCCAAAGAACAAATAATATTACTCAGTAAGTTTGAAATATAGTGGGCTCAATTCCATTTTTTTTTTCAAATTAAATAAGCATTCCTTAACTATTTTTTTATTTCAGAGGTAAATATATATTTTATAATACAAATAAGTGAGCTCAGTATATTGCATGTCAAAATAATGGATTGTGATTACTTTCACATCTTCATGTTCATTGAAAGATTATGAAAATTAAAATTTATTTTCAAAAAGACCTCTAAATAAGGAGTGAATATACTAGCAAACATATAAGCATCAAAGATTGTATTAAAATAGCTTCAAAAGTTGCAGCATTTTGAAAATGGCTGCTGCTTTTTGTGCATTAGCTTGATGAAAAATGAATCACCAAATGAGTAACCAATGAATTTGCAAAATTCCCTTCAAAATTGCAACTGAGTTTCTGACTTTAAAGTGGGGTGCAGATAATCAGAAAGTACCTTTCTTTTTTAAAATCAATTTCTAAATTTCCATAACTAGTTTGGCACCCCTTCTAACCGTTCAGCTGAGGCAAGGGCCTTGCTTGCCTCTCTCTTGTCCTAGCTCATTAGTATGTTTGTAAAATAATGTAAAATTGTATAATATATTTCATATATGAAAGTTAATAGGCTGCATGTGATTCAATGTAAATTAAAATTAGATAACACACCATGTTAACCATGTATTAAAATTTGCTTACAGTCAATAATGCATTTTTCCAGTTCATGAATTTGTGAAGTCCTCCAGCTTTTTCTATAATTTCCTGTCCCTAAAAAGAATAGCAATTTTCAGGTAGGAAACATTAACATTAAACATTAGTATGAAAAAATATAGATATTAAAAAATAAAAAAGCTGAGTTCTATGATTTGCTCTATTATCAAAATGGAATGACAGTTTCGCTGATAAAAATAAAGAATTTATGATACATTTTAGGCTTCGTGGTCAGTATATCAACAGGAAAGTTAGATTCACAAATTCTTCTACTGCAATAACATTTTTAGCATTTCACACAGTGTTTTAAAAAAAATCCTAAACTTATTAAAATATAATCTAGATGTATCATGTTTTAAAGCTGCGTTAGTAATGCATCACTCACTGTTTTATAAATAAAGATATGCCATTGATTCTTCAAGACTTCAAAAGTAATATTTAGTTGATATTAGTATTATTATTACTGTTTGCATACATAAATAGCATAATACTTTTCCAAATATTTTATTCTTATTTTTTCTTCCTTTTATATTTTAATGTAATCTTTGATTTGGTTAGGACCTTTGGAACTTCTGCAGCTGATGAATTTCATTCAGACCATAAGAAATTATCATGTGAAAGAAAAGAAAGGACACAATAATGAAAATCATATATTCAAAATCAATATTGAAATTATGTTTATGTGTGTTTTCTCTATCTATAATTTATTTTCAGAAAGATGCTTTAATATTGTTCAAGAATATTTTTCTAAATAAATTAGTCTTTCTAGTTTGAGATTAGATATATATTATTATCAAATATATCTTGAAATGACATGATAGTGTTTATTCTAAATTAGCATGGAGAATAAATATAGAAATGTAGAAACCTCTTCAGAGTTGAATATAGATAAATGAAGATTTAACTATTATTCATATATTAAATTCATACAGTTATACTTCATTTAACTATATTCAGAGTTATTATATCATAGTAACTATATTCATATAGTTATATTATTCAGAGTTGAATACTATAGTTAAATAAAACTTTTTTTTGGCATGGAGGCTAAAAAATGAAATAATCATCGTTATTATTTCGGTACAAAAAACTCATGTAATATTACAGGAAATAATTAGACTGAAATTGCATAGGCAGTGGAATACATCCAATTTTTGCACATTTTATTTAACACAGTTATAAAGTAGTAATGTCCAACTTGTAAAATATAATACATTTAGGTTGAAAATGTTAAATTTGTTTTTGTGCCACTATAACTCTCCAACTATTAAAAATGCTAAAACTGTTCCATAACTGTTTTAAAAAATATCTATAATTTATGAAATTTTATGTTTTTGTATGTCAAAAGATCATAAAATATATATATATACAGTCAAAAGTCGTTAATCCGGACTCGTAGGGACTTAGGTGATTCCGGATTATCGATTTTTCCGGATTATAGATCATCAGTTTAAATCTTGTAAGATGGCATGCAGAAATTCTAAAATTAAAAATATGAAACCGTAATTTATGAAATAAAGAACAATTATGATCTAAAGGGTATCAAAATTTACAAAAAAAAAAAAAAAAAAAAAAAAAAAGCTTAATATTTATTTGTTTACTTTATTAAACATTTCTTTCAATGTAAGTTGTTTAAGTTGCTTCGTTTTATGTGATAATACTTTCTCTTTAATTCTATAAACAGACATAATTTCTTGTTCAGTTACAAAGTTCCGCTGTTCAAGTCCCGTTAATTGCTGTGCCGAGAATACCGACTAACTTGTCAATCGAAATTTTTTCGTTTTCACTAACCTCTCTGTCACATTCTTCATGTTTTTATCCATTTTTTGCAGCAATTCCACTTTTTGTTTGTTGGACATCGAAACATACTTTCGTTTTGTAAATCCTTTGGAAGTTCCAGCATCGGAAATTCTATTTGACATAATCAAAAGTTCAAGTTTACTTTTATAAAATTGCTCTTACAGTCTGCAAAAAATAATAAGCAGGATCCAATTCGAAGATAAGGAACAACGCAATCATTAACTGAAATAGATAATTAGATAATTTTAGGTTACACCGTCCGTTATACATTAAACACGCAGGCGAAAACGTATTCTGCACTTGCGCACATGCATATGCGCAAAGATCTTACGCGCACGCGTAAAACGCCTGTGCGCATGTGCCAACGCAGCGCATGCGCAGAAAGTTTTTAGCTTTGAGGTCCGGATTATAGATCATTCCGGATTATGGGTGTCCGAATTAACGACTTTTGACTGTATAAGGAAAAGTAGAGTCAAATTTTTTATTATCAAAGGACAATAAACATTATGCACATCTGTTTATACATGCTTTAAAAAATCTGGAACTACTCTGATATGCGCCCTCAAGTCGCCAAATTTCTCGCCAAATATTTTTGGCGAGAAACTTCACGCTGCCATATTACTATCTAAATTTTTTGTCTACATTTTGAACTTTTAGCCTAAAAATGTCTCCAAAAAACCCGGTTTTCGCACATGCAAAAACTACGTTTTGAACACACAATTTAGCTAAAAATCCGAAACAAAAACAAAAAATTTAGATAGCAAAAACGTAAAGTTTCTAACCAAAAATATTTGACAAGAATCCATGTACACAGCGACATGTTTTAACTTAAAAAAACATCTACGAATTGCACAATGTAGGCAACGAACGAATCTACAAACTACGCACACCTCGCTTTAATAAATTAACATAACAACAATAAATTTCAAAGAATACCATGTACACAGCATCCTGTACATGGTATCCTACGAATTGCACAATTTAGGCAAGGAAGGAATCTATGATCTACGCACTCCTCGTTTTAATAAAATAACATAACAACAATAAATTTCAAATAATACCATGTACACAGCATTCTGTTTCAACTTTAAAAAACATCTACGAATTGTACAGTTTAGACACTAAACAACAAAATAAACTAAAATAAATTTCAAACAATTTAAAAAAACAACAATAACGACAGAAATTCATACTAAAGAACCAATGAACATAACATTCTACAAAATAAGAACAAGGATAAAATAAAATGCACTTTCAAACAATTTAAAAAAAACAACAATAACAACAGAAATTCATACTAAAGAACCAATGAACATAACATTCTACAAAATAAGAACAAGGATAAAATAAAATGCACTTACCATGAATTAATGTGTTTTCGAATAGCAGAAATATAAATTTCATACCGCCACGTAATCACTATCATATTTACATGACAGCCAGACACACTATCCAGAAAATTTATACTATGGTTCACAAATAAATAAAATTACAAATCCCTACTTCTATCATGCACTGCCATTAAAAATAATCTCCCAGACCCTCTTTCCACACTTCCCAATACCCACTACCCCTCAACAGGATAGCCACAATCATATTTCCTTTTGCCGAACTTCAATTCAACAACTACCATTTTATCTTTCCCTCCCATCTTCTCAGATACAGAGGCGAACCAACGAGCTCCAGCGAAAGATTTTTCAATGTCAACAGGGTTGCCATAGAACACGCAATTGCGCCAAAAACCAGCGCAGAACACATATCGCCACATTTGGTGAAATTAGGGCGTATATTAGAGTTGTACCAAAAATCTTTTTATAAATAAACACTATCTATCAGTTAACTATATAACTATATTTTATGTTAACTCATGACAGTATTATGAGTTAGAAAAATAATTAGTTTCCTTGACCTTCAAAATCTCATATTTATTGTAGGTCTTTTTTTAAATATCTTTTTGTGCATCCTGATAATAAATAACAAATCCTTTAATACAAAATTACTACTCTTGAAATTAAAATATTTTATATTCATAGCAATATAATATATTCCATACACATAGCAAATAATACTATAGTTGGTGTAAAAGCCATAAATTTGGGATAGTTACTTTTTGCAAACAAATGATTTAAGTACAGAAACTTCAACACTTTATGAGCAAGAAAGAGGAAAAACCCTCTCAGAAAATGACAACTTTTAATCTTGGATTTATGATACAAACAATTTTTCAAAAAACAATATGGTAATATAAAAACTGGTGCTATTAAATGATTCCATGAAAATTCTGCTCTGAATATTATAATTACAAATTAAAAATGCTTACATCTTATCAATCAAATAACTTCCACAACTAACAGCCAATAATAAAATCACAAAATTAACCATAATTTAATAAACAGCTGCTTTTAGTTTTTCAGTGATTGTTTTCGTACCCTTCAGGGTTAGAGTAGTCTGAAGGGTACCCCTTGTATTATCATAAAGTTGTTGTTTCATTCATTGCCAATTTTCACCAAGGGGTTTGTTTCATTTATTGCCAATTTTCACCAAGGGGTACCCATAAATATACTTTTACGTGATTATGTATTTTTTGTTTGCCTCTACTGTAGAATTGGGTCCTCCTTTGACTTTTTAGGTGAAAATATATCGATGTGTACATGGACAAAGTCAAGGGAGTGCACAATGCCAAGTTTGTGCAATTCTCTGATGTTTTCTAAGTGAAAATAGGTCGATGTGTACATGGATAGCGCGTTTGTGCAATTCTTTGACTTGTTATTTTGCCTTTTCATAGCGGCGACATTTGGTGCTAAAATAACTACACAAAGCCAATATAACGAGTCAAAGAATTATACAAATGCAGTATCCATGTACCAAAAATTGCCAATTTTCGCCAAGGGGTACCCGTAAATATACTTTTACCCAATTCAGATATAATGCTACACATGGATTAATCAGAATTGATTCACAGATCTGGTATCATGATATAACTATTTGGTAGAGGTTTAATAAAATGTTCTGTGGAGCACTGTCTGTCTACCACAAGAACTATGTTAACTAATATATCTAACTGAAGATAATCAATGTTGTAATAGGTCTTAGATATTTTAAGCAGGGACAAGTCAGGTAACAGCTTCATCATTGCTATTCTGCTTTCGGCAAATGATGGCTCCAGGAAAGGCAAAGCAATGCTCTAATGAGTATTTTACTTCAAGGAAAAAAAAAAAAAAAAAAAACTCATACTGCCAATTCATCTTTAAGTGCAT